TTGAAGTCTAATGAAGTCTCATGAATTCTTCTGGAAGTTTTGAAATATATTTATCCAAGGACAAACAATCAGACACTAAGATCGGACAAGATTCTGTGTCTGATCATATATGATCTTGTACGATTCATACCAAATCGTACAAAAAATCTTAGTCTCTGAAATCTTTCATCAATTCTTACTGTAAGACTCTTGACAGATTTTGTTGTCTTGCCAAATCTTACTGCAAGATTTTAGAAAATCTTATGCGCCGGTACGATCTGATAGAAATCTTGCAGTAAGAATTGATGAAACAGAGATAAGAAATCTTCAGAAATTCCTTGATCGACCGAGGAGTCCTCATCGATTGGTTCCATTTTCAAACAAAACGCAAACTAAATTTTAACAAGAAAAGTTCTATACGTTTTAAACTATTCAATATAGAACCGTCGAGTATCTCTTTGGGTCCAACTCTCGAGTACTGACCATCAAGTACGAGTACAAGTACGAGTACTGACCCTCTGAGTACGAGTACGAGTACCGACCCCCCGCGTACGAGTACGTGCGAAATCGTACTCGAGTACTAGTACTTCGAGTATTTTGCCCAGCTCTGAACACAATGAAGATGTCTATGCTGAATCAGTGTCTGATATTCCATATGAATTAAAAACGAAATCAAAAGAAAAATTCCAGAAAAGTATTATGTTATGGGGTGGTATTTTTTTACCAAGGATTATTTCCTAAGAAATCTCCAATTTTTATCGATGAATGGTTAGAGCTGATAAGACCAGAAGGTGATGATCGTCGTAAAAAAATGTATTTTACTGGTGACAGGTATGCAAAATTTATTTGAACTACTGTAGCAGAAAAAGCAACTAAAGAATTAGGTGATTTATCAAATGTAATTTTTCAAGACGATCAAGATCGTAAACAAAGAATGCAGGTGTCCTTGGATGCTGTTAAACATGTTTTTATCAATCGAATAGAAGTAATAGATTGTGATGCAAAACTGGCTGACGTTTGGCCTATAGAAAATGTTTGGGGTATATTAAAAGAGAAGTTACGAGGACGAGAATACAGTCATATTGAACAATTGAAAAATGACATTAAAAAGGAATGGCAAAAATTTAGTGTTTCTTTATGCCAACAAATGATGGATAAAATACCAGCGAGATTAAAATTAGTAATCGATCAAGGTGGTAATCAAATACAGGAACAGTGATAACTTGATTTGTGTATTTTTTATTTTTTAAAGTTTTATTGTTTTTAAACTCTGACCAAGATGACGAGGAAAATTAAAAATATAGTACATGACAATGTTTTTATTGGTTCTCATCCCTTAGTAAAAGCTATAGACCTCAAACTTTATAGTTATGTAGTACTTGATAGGTGTAATAATCTGCCAAAGTTTCAAGAAGTTTGCCTTTTGTTGAACGCGAGAGCGATGAATTTCAAAATTGTAACAGAACTTCTGGGACACCCTTTATAATAAATGCCATTTTTCACCTAAGGATGTAGCCCTTGGAAACGATAATTCACTTTTGAGTTGAGCTTCTCTTTCTAAGGTCGTTGTCAGTAAGGTAAGAGAAATCCCTGAAGGATGTGATTCATCAGCTCTTCTCTCGAAGATTATGCTTATGTTACTAGAATTTTAGTTGAATGCTAATGAGGAACCCTATTTAGATGTGAATTTGATTTTGAGTTCGAGCCATCAGTGTCAGATAGATGTGAGGGAAGTATGAAAAAATCCAAATGAACGAGGGTTGATAAATCTTCTCTCGAAAGTTATAGCCATTTTCTTTAAATTTTAATCTATAGTGCCGCAGGTATCAGTTAGTGGAATGAGACTATTACTGTTTAAGGATTTTTGGACAGACCAGTCTATTTATGAGGTGAATGTCCCAAAACTTTTAGTTGAAAACAATGCGCTTTTTCCAGAGATGCTCAAGTTCACAAAAAATAGAACATTTTCATCATCTTTCGTGAGATATGAGTTGTATTGTTGAACTTGAGCATCTATAGAAAAGACACATTATTTTCAAGGAAAAATCTTTGGGACATTCGACTCATAAATAGACTGCTCTGTCCAAAAATCCTTAAACAGCAATAGTCTCATTCCACTAACTGATATCTGCGGCACTATAGATTAAAATTTAAAGAAAATGGCTATAACTTTCGAGAGAAGATTTATCAATGCTCGTTCATTTGGATTTTTTCATACTTTCCTCACATCTATCTGACACTGATGACTCGAATTCAAAATCAAATTCACATCTAAATAGGGTTTCTCATTAGCATTCAACTAAAATTCTAGTAACATAAGCATAATCTTCGAGAGAAGAGCTAATGAATCACATCCTTCAGGGATTTTTCTTACCTTACTGACAACGACCTTAGAAAGAGAAGCTCAGCTCAAAAGTGAATTATCATTTCCAGGGGCAACCTCATTAGATGTACATACCTTGGAAGTTTCGTACGAAACCATTTGTGCGAAACCTTTTGGACATCATTTTTGGAGAGGTTCCGTACCGAATCTCTTGTACGAAGCCTTTTTGGGCTTTTTCATGTGAAGGTTTCGTACTGAACCTTTTGTACGAAACCTTTCAGACTTTTCCGATAAAGGTTTCGTGCTGAATCCTGTGTACGAAACCATTTTTTTTCCAGTCAGAAAGAAGAAGTTTCGTACGAAATCTCCTTTTTACGAAACTAAAAAAGGATCTTCCTGTGTACCCAGGGGAAGATCCTTTTTTGGTTCCGTAAAATACCTTTTATTTTAACAGTGTAGGATGTCGCATGATTTCGCGAATGATAAACAGTGTGTATCAAGTCTGTATCACCACTATTTAGACGGAAACAAGACGCTTCGTTGCATAGTAGTCACTCTCCAAATGAGCTGTAGGATCAAGATATCACAAGGATTTATGATATACAAATGCGCATATCAGTATATATATCATTAAACTAAAGAATGATTCCAAAAACTAGTCTAATATGAAAACCAAAAGCCGATTTTATATGATGAAAACATGCAAAAAATAGTGGACTTTCGTCTACTGAATATCATTTTAA